AGAAAACTACTCATCCAGTGACCAGTATATTTACCCTCTACCAGACTCCTGTACCCCACTGGTCTGGGTCTGTTACAGTACCCATCCAGTTTGGTCAAAGGAGGTGATAGCAGATGCTGGCACCATTCAGCTTCGATGCGGGGAGATGTGTGACATATTTGGAGCTGCTCTGTAATAACTTCTGAGTATTGTATTCTGACCTGGTTATGAGTGGATGAATATGCTGGCATAGTTTAATGGGGGCTGTTCAGAAAAACAAAGAGGAAGGAAAAGAATGACTCAGCATAAGGCTCGAGAACACAGGAAGTCGCAAGAACTGTGGCAAATTGAAAAAAGAACATCCTCGAGAGGGGTGTATTATTCAGGGGAACAAAATTGAGATTCAGGGACCAAGTAGGCGTGTCTGAAGACGTGGACATTACGCCTATAGGCAAGATAGAAATGTGTGCAGACTGCTGACTGTTTTCAAATCCTTCTTTTCTAATTGCTTTGTTCCAAGTGCAAAATAAGGAATCCTCTGGTTTCAGAAGGCTGTCAACACCGCTCTCAGACTCCAGAAGGGAATACGCCCAGGCACTCTAACGCAAACAGATCTGCTGGGAAAAGAACGGTTGCTATACAGGGTATTGTAGCCCAGGGCCCAGTCTAGGAGTGGGAGAATCACAGAATTCCAGCCCAGGAGAGGTAAAGGCACAAAGTCTGGTACTTGAGGGGGTGCATTCGGAGGGGACAGAGAGGAGGGAACAAGAGGTTCACCTAGCACTGTGACCATGACGGGGACATTTTGGGTAGTCTGGAGGGGTGTAAGGCAAGTGCCAGGTAGGTCACAGAGGTTTCACTAGCCTAGGCAAGAGTCCAGGGCATGACACTTCTGTAGCAGGGCAGAAAGGAAAGACTTATAGAATCATAGAATATCAGAGTTGGAAGGGACCTCAAGAGGTCATCTAGTCCAACCCCCTGCTCAAAGCAGGACCAATTCCCAGCTAAATAACTTCAGAGATGTTTGGGAGGAGATCAACGGGAGAGGAGTCAAGAATGATACCCGGGGGTGGGCCATTCCCAGCAGGGATGGTGATACAATCTCCTCTGATGGGGAGGTGAGGAATTGAGAGATAGCTGGACAGCACTTGGAATCCAAAGGACAGCATGAAGGGTGGGGAGTGGAGAGAGACTAGCAAAGAAACAGAGTTCAAGAGAAATGGGTAGACAACAAAGGGAAGGGATAACTGGGAGAAAGAAGATGCTTTTTAAAAATAGAAAATTTGAGAATTTAAAAAGAGAAATGACAGGGAAAAAAGAAAATAGGTGTGGAGTCCAGTGGGATGAGATGAGTTTGGAAGGAGAGATGAAGAGGATAAAGAATTGAAGGAAATAATGAAGAAGAGAAGCATGCAGCTTCAGGGTACTGGATTTAGTGTAATTGATTTATGCTCTTTTATTTTGCTGTACTTCCCAGAAAGATGTCCTGTATCTCTGAGTTTGGGGTAGAGGAGAGGGATGGTTTTTTTGAGTGTTTATGTTCAGGATCCTATAGAATTCTGCAGAACTTGCCACAGAATTTACCCCTTGATACAGAATTGAGCAGCAGAATTTCAACTTTTTAAATTTTATAATACTTTTTTAAAAGTGAAGAAAACTTTCAAAATATGAACCAAAGAGAAATGAATGCAGTGCTGTCTTCCTGAGTCTGTCGGCAGCCTGAAACAGACTCTGAGCGTTGTGAATTGCCCCATTCATGTTAATCATATTGACTCTGAAACCTAGTGATAGTTTACTAGTTGCTGTTGTTCACTATTTCACTGCTGATCATTTTACTAGAAACTTCCAGTCTGTATGTCTGTCCCACATTCCCAAACAGCTTCCCACTCCACCTCAAGTGCCACAACCCTTAAGTGCCTTGTGTTCAGTTGCCAAAGCCTCCTGCTTTCCCCTAACAACTATTTTGATTTAGTTATTATATTTCCAAACTTCCACACCATCATGAGAATGTGGCGGGAGCATAAAGGGAATGATGTCAAATTAAATGAAGGGCTGAGCTGAAACAGCCTCAGTGTTCCCCTCATTTCAATTGGACAGATGATCATATAGCTTCTGTCTGTTGTTTCGCTGGTGTGTGTTTAATCCCTACGGTTGTTTTCCGATGCCTCAGCTTCCTAGGTTTCTGTGCAGGGGGCCTTGTTGGTTTTCCCCCTCCCACCGTATGCAGCTCTGTTCTAGTTTCTGTTCTTCACTATCTGAGAGGGACGACTGCAGGGTTGTAGCCAAGTTAGTTATGCCTGGAAAGTGAGTGTTCTGGACCTTTTGAGATGCTTGCTAATTCCTTTGTGCATATGTGATTTGCTATGGTATTTCTCAGGAATAGAATGTAAGATCATATTTTTCCCTACATATGTAGATAAACATTGGTAGTATATTTTAGCACTGAGTATTACTCTGTGTATGCCCGAGAGAGTCCATAAGAGTCATTTATATGCAGAGTATACATTCTGTATCCAAACTACTGTTGTGAAGTGTAACGCCACAGACTAATGGTGCAGATGTGCTGGCATAGATGAAGATGCAGAATTAAATTGCACACTGACAACATTGCTATACATGGTGTCCTGATAGCACATCTTGTGATCAGTGCACGACGACTAATACTATTATTAAAACTAAGCAACGGCAAATATACTTGTATGTCAACTCAGTAAAAAATTAAGTTTTCAATTTACTTCTCCTTGTCAGATTGGAACTAAACTAGCATTCAGCTCATTAGTGGTCCAAGTGTGAGTCTGTACACACATTCCTACTGACTAAAGACATAGTTTTAACAGCATTTCCATCTCTCTGCTCTGACTGGCGGATTAGCTGTGATGCTCTGCTCAGGCCCCTGGCGCAGCTCCGTTTGCTTTGCTGCACTCCTGCTCAGACCCTCAGTCCACCCTAGCCGCCCAGTGCTGCTGTGCCACTGCCCAGGGCAACCAGCCCACCTTGGTCTGAGCTTGACTGGTGGCCAGAAAGCTGCTTGCCCACACAACACTCCTACTTGTGCCAGCTTCTGGGTAGTAGGATTTCTCACAGCCTGATGCCCTGCTGGGGGCTGCCAAGCTCAGAGCTCCACCCCCTCAGAGCTCTGCCTTTCCCTCTGGCCTCGTCTTGCTCAGGAAAGGAGGCAGAGGCTGGAAATGACAGAACTGCTTCTAAAATTAAATTCAGTGAAAGACAAAAAAGACTAGAAAGGAACTAAAAAGAGACCAAGTCTCCAGAAGCGGTAGGTTACGGAACTGGGTATTTTGTCAATGTGTACCCGTACTAAAGCCCCAATCTTGCAGACATTTCGCATACGCTTAACTTCAGTAGTAGTCCCGCTGACTCCTAGGGGACTTCTCACGGGAGTAAAGTTAAGCACAGGCATCAGTGTGTGCAGATTTAGAGCCTAAGACCGTAATTCAGGAAGTCACATGCTTAAGTGCTATCCTGATTCAGGGCCTATTACCTAACTATGGGCTCAATTCTGCAAACCCTTATTCACATGCGTAATCACTGTCAAGTGAGCAGCTCTTCTGACGAATGGTTTGCTGGCTTGGGTTCTCAGGCACCGTAGAGTTCCATTATGAAATGTGCATATGTGCTATTTCTCCGCACGCTCCGTGTGACTCTTCTGACCTGATCTCTCCCACACAGAACCTTACACCTGTGGAGCTTGTGGAATCCAGTTTCAGTTTTATAACAATCTGCTGGAGCACATGCAGTCCCATGCAGGTAAGCCAGGCACTTCTGATTTATTTTTAAAGACTTCAGATAAAGCAGAGAATTAAATTCTGCACTGATTCCTCACACTGACCCAGTTGTGTGTCCATAGAGCTTCCTGTGTTTACACTTTCCAGAGTGCCAGTAATTCTACCTCTTATCTGCAGAAAAAAACCTAGAGACCAGGGAGCACAAGGCAGTGGCTACAGGAGTGCCGGGACTCTCCGATGTCTGGTTGTGTTTGTATCTGAGGTCACTTTTCAAAGGAAGATTGAAAGCATGCATGGCATTTGTGCAGAGCATATCAAATTAAATCGCTCCTGTCTCATTTAGCCCTACAATATCCAGGTACTAATCAGTCACCTCTCCTATTGGGGTCAAAATTCCATGGGCAGATGAAATCCCTTGTCCCCTCGAGGCAGTTATCCTAAAACTGAGAGACGGCTCTTGTCCCACAGATCCTGTCACATGTTTGTATTGACTAGAGCTCTGTGGGGGATGGAAAGTCCATTTCACGAAGGCTTTCACGATTTCCACGTTTAACTTCATTCCTATAGAAACAAACCGTGAAATTTCTACATTCTCCATGAAAGACAATTCTAGGAAAAAATCCGTTTGGGGTCAATCGAACTGTTTGAAAAAATCAAAAAGGGACATTTTGACATTGTCCAAATTTTCCCCCCAAAAAACTAAACTTGGGTGACATTGACACGCTTTCGCGAAGTGTTCCACCTTTGAAACTGCATTCTCCAACAGAAAAGCCTTTCTACGTTTTTCGACCAGCTCTAGTATTTACCTTGTGTGTTTGCACTGGGAGAATCTCCATCTCTCCTTGCACTTGGAACACAGTGTAAACACAGAGCGATTGCCACGACTCTGGGGAGAATCCCTGACTGATAGATGGGTTGGGAAGGGATAAGGAGAGAAGGGGGGCAGGCAGGGACATGTGCAGTGAGGGAGGAATGTCAGTTTGAAGGCCAAATGTGAGTACGTGTTTCAGAAAAATGATCATCTGCAGACTCTTCCTCTTCACTCCATCACATGTTCTGCGCTAATAAACTCACAGGCCTCGTTTCTGTATGTTCTGCGGCGTGTGCGTTATTAGCTTAGGATACAGTTGTGTTAACAGGAAGCTCCCTTACGTGATTTTTATTCCTACTGAGCTGTGCCCTCTGTCACCTCACCCAGCTCTCTAGATTCTTATAAATCACAGTCATCTGATTGGCCACAGTCCTCAGAATGTCCCATCCCCATGTCCACAGAAAACATAATACCCTCCCTGCCCATCACCTAACTTAACCCTCGTCTGACGCCTGTCCCTTGCACCTCCTTTCTGCCTATCTTGGATCTTCATGTGGTGCCTATCGCATCATGGTACATTAGCTCTCCCCCCCTCTCCCCCCCGAGGGAGAGTTCGTCTTCCCTCCCATTTCCCACTAAGAGTAATAATGGCTTGGTATGAATTACTTTGTATTTATTATCTGGGTTTAAGTGGGGGGCAAGGCAAGGAGGGTGCCATTGCTAAAGGCAGCTTTATTTATTGGGATGTCAGATTCTGAAGGTGGTAACCAACCAAAGCAATGGTTGAAACAAGATAATGACCACAGTTACTGAGAGAGACCCCGTAGTCGCGCATCCAGTGTGGAGCGCTGCATAACTGAGAAATAAAGGCAGTTGCAGATGAGTGTCTGTACTGCACCCCTGCGCTCTCAGTGGCAGGGACTCTCCGGCATCCTGTTGAATGAATTAATTGCATAATCAGTGACACACAACACGGCTTGTATCCCTTCCCCAGCTGGACTGAGGAATCTGGCGTAACTGTGGATTGTCGAGTACAGTATAACTGTGCCCCTAGTAGTAGCGTATTGTCCTGAGGCATGTGGGATCTGGTATAACTGCACATTGAATGCATTTGTAGCCATGCAGAAATCCAGTTTAACTTTCATAACATTTGTAGTAAATGTCTAATCTCTTTCCACTCCAAATGAGGAGTCCATTGGTCCCTCCTCCGTAAGTGACTGAAGTCCAGGAATATGCTGCTAGCCCTGAGGAGTGAGAGCAGGGGCTTGTTGGCACTTCAGTGATTCTGGAGGCTAAAAGGGTAATTAGGGAAGATTATAGCTACACAATGGGAAGAAGTGATTAGAATGTAAATTGGAGGCTGAGATGCAGAACTAGAAGGGCAGAATACAAGGCAAAGGAATTTGTTCTGTAATTACACAGTACAATATCCAGCTTTCACTCCCTTTAGGGTACTTTGTTCAGGTCGAGTGCTACCATATAATGCCTTTTCTGCAATCTAGTGCTAAAAAATAAAAAGGACAACTAGGCTGAACCTGGATTAAAGGATTGGAGGCATGAAGAGAAATTAAAGAACCATGATCTATATAGTTCACAACCTGACTGATAAGGAGGATGAAACTGAAATGCACAAATCTTATTAACTCCGCATTGAACGCCAACGGATAATTGCACATAATAAATCCCCTACTATTATGAAATAGATAAAGGAAATACAGTTTTTCCCCTGCCAAGACCAGAAGAAGGCTGACATGTGAACGGGCCTTAATGGAACAAAGTTAATAGCAGACATGAGGCATGTCTCATTAACCTACCAGTACATATGCAGAGTTAATGCCATTTCTGATGTTTCCTATGGAGCAGTTAGAATAGACAAACTTTGGGAAGAACCAGTCATTTCTGATTCCTAGTTTATCATGTGGGGACGCCTGCTTCTTCTTTCTCGCCAACCCCCTCTAGAGACCCGACATACTAGTAGCCTTTCCCCCAGCTGATTGCTGTCTTGGAGCATGGCACTGGGCCCTCCAAACGCTGGACAGTCCATTCTGGACACACCTCAGACATGTCGAGGGACCTATGACATGCCCACACCAAATCCCTACCCTGTTATACTTGATCTTCTGCTGCAGAATAGCAGCTTAGTTAGCCAGGTTGTGTTCTGGTTCCATGTTCAACCATTTCCTGTATCGCCTTTAAATGAGTTCCCGTGGGATGTTGGTCCAGTGTGTTGCCAATGCAGCACCCAAACAAGGTGCCTCTCTCCCAGCTTCCAAACTCATAACTCTCTTTTTCTGTCAGGCTGCTCCTTCTCCCATTAGCTCACTGCAGGCTTGTGATTGGTCCAGTGGACTGCTTGTCCAGATCAACCCATGCAGAAGCCTCTCTATTGGCCACAGCAGAGGTTTTAGTTCTTTCAGTCCCTGACTCCAAGCATACTGCTGTAGGTCATGCCTCCTTGGTATGTCTTCTGTGCCCCTCTCATGTTGGCTAACCCACCTAGAGATTGATGAGCCAGCCGGCTACACGGTCACGTGAGGCGCTTTTCGCTCACGCAGTAGCCCATGCATTAATATCCAGAGGTCCCAGGTTAGCTCCCCACTGCTGATGACCCACCCAGCGGCATGGTGTTACACTGGGATTGGGGTCAGAGCACCATGGCAGCCATCTTAGCTGTAATCCTTTTGGTAGGGACTCAGACGGGGGCTACAGGAGCTGGGAAACCCAAGTGGAAATTACATGAGGATTGGTTGTTTTCAAGCCTTATGATAATATTGTTCTCTACTGTGGGTAATATATATATTAAATGCAACAGAAAATATAATAAATTGGTGTCATACTAATTAAGGAAAACAAAAGTAAATGTTAAGTAGTAAATGGAGATTTTCCCCTTTTCTGTTCAGCTCTCTTTATCCTGCTGTCTTCTGGAGAGTCGGCATTTCTCGTAGCCCCACAATCCATCCTGGCACATGGCCGGCTGTGTGTGTGTGTATGTCTCCCTTAATATCGTGAGGAAATGCTCCTCTTACGCCTCTGATTAACTCCTTCTTGTTTATGCCCCACAGCTGACAATGAGAACAATATTGCCTCTAACCAACCCAGATCACCTCTGACTGTTGTGGAAGAAAAGTGGAAACCACAGCTCCAAAGAAACAATGCCAATAATAGTATGTAGCCATGTTTTCTCATTACATTTCCCTGTAGGCCTTGGATCAATGGCTCTGTACCTGGTGGGGTCACAGCAGTGGTTCAGGCAGGTCGAAGCCCATGTCCCGCACCTGTCGGGAGTACTTTTCTCATGTATTTTTTCTCAGCTAGTCACACCAGATCTCAGGTGCCATTAGCACCCTATAAACTATTGTACTCATTCGCACTAAAGCGCCTTTGAAATGTGGGTAGAGGATATCTGGAAACTCCAGGAGAAGTGATGGAAATGTAGTCATGGTAGGAAAAAAGCTGAGAGAGAGCTCCTGTCTCCGAACTCATTAACAAGACTAGCCTTGCTGGGAGTCGTAACTTCTCGTCTGAGTCTGGATTTCCTTGCTGTAGGGAAAGAGATCATTGCCCTAGGCATCACCAGAGAGTTACTGGCAGCCAACAAGGTTCTAGCTCAACCACTGATTCGCTACCGGACCTTGGGCAAGTCACATGATCTTGTGTTTCAGTCACAAACCGTGTGGGAAATGGGGGTATTTTTAAAAAAATAAAAGCAGCAGTGATAGAATACCTCAGCCGAGCTTCCCTGCGGAAACAAGATGCATTAAAACCCTAATATTTTGTGTACTGTGGTGTGTCCAAAAATGGCAGACACAACAATAAAGCCCAGCAGCTGTCACAAAAACTAGACTAGAGCTGGGGAAGGAGAAAGAAAATCTTAAACTACACTGGTGTTCAGGCCTGTACATTTGACCAAAAAAGGCAGACTTCTTGTACAGACAAAACTGAGGTAGATGCAGCTCTTATTAAAATAATGTGATGCTAATGTGAGTCCTGAATTCTAAATAGAAGAAGAATGGAAAGGCCAACCTAGCACACTAAGCATATCAGGTGAATCGAAGATCTAACGGCTAACCCTGTAAACCAGGACCATCCTTGATTATAACTTAATTAGACAACTCCTAGATCAGTGCCACAGAGAGGTCTCTGGGGAGGGACAGAGGGCAGCTGCCCAAGGCCATGAGGACAGATGAATCCTGCCTAATCCACTTTTGCTGTGCTTCTGTTACTGAATCAGGGAAAACATACTGATAAGCTCCTCTCTGCTATAAGCAAGAGAAAAAGTCCATCATTGGATCAGCCTGAATCTAGAAGCACTTTGGTATAGAGGCCCACTGGATATCCTAGGTTCAGGAATAGATCTGTATCTGCCATACTCTGGGCAAGTGCAGAGGAGAAATTCTGGCCTTGTTGTTCCTGTTCCTTGAGTAGAAGGAATGATCCTGACAAGTTTCTTTCTGTTTTTCTGCAGCATCTGCAAGTGGTTCAGTAGCAAACAGTGCAATCCCGGAGAAGGAGCGGCAGAACATTGCTGAAAGGCTGCTGCGAGTGATGTGCACCGACCTCGGAGCTTTGAGTGTGGTGAGCGGGAAGGAATTCATCAAGCTGGCCCAGACCTTGGTGGATAGTGGTGCTCGCTACGGTGCTTTCTCTGTCACAGAAATCCTTGGCAACTTCAACACACTGGCGCTGAAGCATTTGCCTCGGATGTACAACCAAGTGAAAGTGAAAGTCACCTGCGCCCTGGGCAGCAATGCCTGCCTAGGCATAGGTGTCACTTGCCACTCTCAGAGCGTTGGCCCTGATTCCTGCTACATCCTGACAGCTTATCAGGTTGAAGGCAACCACATCAAGAGTTATGTCCTGGGAATTAAGGGTGTGGACATCCGAGATAATGGTGATTTTATCCACCACTGGGTGCAGAACGTGATGTCTGAGTTTGTGATGTCGGAAATCAGGACAGTGTACGTCACAGACTGCAAAGTCAACTCCTCTGCGTTCTCCAAGGCAGGCATGTGCTTGCGTTGTTCGGCCTGTGCCTTGAACTCAGTCGTGCAGAGCGTGTTGAGTAAGCGAACACTACAGGCTCGCAACATGCACGAAGTCATCGAGCTCCTGAATGTCTGTGAAGATTTGGCAGGATCCACGGGCCTCTCAAAGGAGACCTTTGGCTCTCTGGAGGAGACGTCTCCCCCACCCTGCTGGAACTCAGTGACTGACTCCCTCCTGCTTGTCCATGAGCGTTATGAGCAGATATGCGAGTTCTACAGCAGAGCCAAGAAGATGAACCTCATCCAAAACCTGAACAAGCATCTTCTCAGCAACCTGGCGGCCATTTTGGCCCCAGTGAAACAAGCAGTGATTGAACTGAGCAATGAGAGCCGGCCCACCCTGCAGCTGGTACTGCCCACCTACGTGAAACTGGAGAAACTGTTCACTTCCAAAGCCAATGACGCTGGCATAGTCAGCAAGCTTTGCCACCTCTTCCTGGAGGCATTGAAGGAGAACTTCAAAGTTCACTCTGCACACAAAGTAGCCATGATCTTGGACCCTCAGCAGAAGCTGCGGCCAGTCCCACCATACCAGCATGAAGAGATCATTGGCAAGGTCTGTGAATTGATCAATGAAGTGAAAGAGTCCTGGGCAGAAGAACCAGAATTTGAACCTTCTACCAAGAAACCACGGGCAGCAGGGGAGGCCCCGCCAGCTCAGGAAGAAGAGCAGTTTGGGAAAAATGAAGTCTACGATTATTTGCAAGAACCCCTCTTCCAGGCCACCCCTGATCTATTTCAGTACTGGTCATGTGTTACCCAAAAGCATACGAAACTAGCCAAGTTGGCCTTTTGGCTCTTAGCAGTGCCTGCTGTCGGGGCCAGAAGTGAATGTGTAAATATGTGTGAGCAGGCGCTCTTAATCAAAAGGAGGCGGCTGCTCAGTCCAGAAGACATGAACAAACTCATGTTTTTGAAGTCCAACATGCTTTAAAACTGTCTTTTAATTAAAAAAAAAAATTAAAACACTGTTCCAAACAAAGAAAAGAATTTAAGTTCTAAACACTGTGGACCTCATTATGAAAGCCCCTGGAAACCAAGTGCTTATATATATGTGTGTATGATTTTATATATATGTGTGTGTGTGTGTGTGTGTATACACACACACACATATATATATATATATAAAATATAATAAAAAAATAAGTTTCAGAGGGAAGCCGAGCACGTGTCAGACACAGCCCTCTGCCAGGAACGTGCTCCTTTCCGTTAGCTAGCATGTGGACTTGACAGACTTTCTAATGTTTTCAAATGGGCACACCAATGGGAGGCTGACATTCTAAAATCTTCAGGCAGCTGCGATCTAAAGTGACTTGAAGTTTCTTTTATTTCTCCTCCACCCCACCTCTCCTCTTGTCCCCTGGGCCACCTTGCCATGGATAATCAAACAACATTGAATAGACCAGTTCTCCACTGGGCTTTGCACCTAGGAATAACTGTACACCTTGAGGGCATTCGTTTGTAGCCTTCTTAACATATGTTGCGTGTTATGAAGGCAGCTGTGTTTTACGAGCACTAGTATCTCTAGAAATCAGGAAGGGAGACTTTAAGGAAACACATTTTTTTGCATTTTAATATAAGAAAAAAATATATACTCTTCTGTCTCCACTCCCATTTTTGAGTTTAACGTTTTAGTTAGTGATTTTACCTTTGTGAGTTTGATTTAGAAGTGAGAGAAATTATTATGGCAAAAAGTGTCTGTTATGTTTTATAGAATTTTTTTACAAGATCAACTTTTTTCTGAAGTCCCACTGTAAACTAGCTCATCTCACCTGTGCATCTTCTATAGCAGTGGTTCTTAAACTTGTTCATAGAGTGGAACAAATCTTCACAGAGGGATTATCATGTCAATACCTCCTGTCCCATTGAGGACCAACAACATCCCTGTGGGAACTGCTGCAATTACTTAAATGGTGAAGTAACATTAGCAAAGTAATGCATTTTTAGTGTCTTTCAATATACTTTAACAGCTAGCTCAGTATGACTGGGCAGGTCTCTGTGGACCACCAGCAAGTGATCCACAGACCACCAGTGGTCCACAGGCTTCAGTTTGAGAACCTCTGCTATACAACATTTTTGTAAGCCTTCCCCGTACACGTGTCAAAACAATCTTCACATGGTCAAGAACAAACCAAGGTGTATGATCTATCAGGGGAGCAGAGGTCATCAGTTTTCAAAATGTAGGGTTTGAAGGAAGCTAAGATAAGCGTATGGGCTTCTGAATGTATGTGCTCCCACTTGAGTGCAGGGTAACCTTCTCGCGTTATTCTGAATGGTTTCCTCTGCTAGGACGAATGTCTTTTAAATACCTATAGTGCATTACACTACTTGCTACATTGCTGAATCATTCTGGCTGGTAAGGTCCTGTGACCTTAAAACTTCATGTTCACTGGCTCTTCAGACATATAGCCCATTCCCACCTGCTATAGGAGATGGTCATAAAACCCAAGTGTCATGAGTCATTTCTGCCGGCAGACAAGGCGAGCTCTCTAGCGGTACATCTGTACTGCAAAAAGCCACTCTGTGCAATAAGTCTCGGAGCTTGGATCAGCTGACTTGGGCTCGCAGAGCTTGCGCTACAGGGCTAAAAATAGCGGGGTAGATGTTCCTCTTTGGGCTGGAGCCCAGACTCTGAGACCACCTCCACTCGCCGAGTCTCCGAGCCCAGGCTCCAGTCCAAGCAGGAACATCTGCACTACTATTTTTAGTCCAGAGGTGTGAACCGGAGTCAGTTGACCGGGCTCTGAGACTCACTGCTGCTGGAGCTTTTTTGCAGTGTAGATGAATCCTGAATGTCTGCACACAAAGTTGAGTGGCGTCACACCTGACCTCTTAGATCTGGTGTTCTTGGACAAACTGAATTCTCCACCAAAGGGATTTGGATCCCAATGGCAAAATTAAGCAAATTCCTTCTTGATGCATCCTCTCACACTTCAAGCACTTTGCTCCCTAGTTGGAATCACTGGTGACAAGAGACCGGTTTTTCAGATGTATGTGCCCAGATGAGTCTCTAGAGCAGTTCAGTTGGTAACACTATCAACTCTGAACTGAAAGGTTGTGGGTTGAAGTCCCTGAACAGGATGTGGGTATGTGTTGCATGCTGACAATGTACTACTGGGGACAAAGGAGGCTGCTGCACACTTAGAGGTACCATCCACTGAACAGACATTAAGCCAATATTCCTTCTGCCCATCTCTGGTTGTGGTGACAATTAAAGATCCCAAGACACTTGTTAGAAATGGAAGATAAAGCCCAGAGTCCTGGCCAATAAATCTGTCTCCTAGTGGAACAAGTTCTAACGCCCCATGTGAACACACATCGGTTGCAGTTTGCTTGCAGTCACTTGCACTCCCAGTATCTAACACTTCCCCTTCAGACACCTAGATTATGAAAGGCACGGAATGATGTTCTCTGTGGCCTGTATTGCTCAGAGCTGGGAGAGTTCTCTCAGTAGTGACCCCTGCTTGTTCCAAGCACATCGAAGGACAGCCCTGGGTCTGCAGATATCTTTCCCAACAGATCTCTGCCCCTTCCCAGCTAGGAAGCAGCACCTCTTGCAGACTGAATAGGCTGAAGATTGTGTTGGCTTCCTGCTCATGACATCAGTGCAAAATCATCCATCTTCTAAATGCAATTGTGAGTGTTGTTGTGGAGGTCTTTATTCTAACAGTGTTTCTAGTAAGCACAGCTCCAGTGCCGCAGGAATAATACCATTTAAAGAGAACACTCAAGAGCAGGAGACACCCCAAAAATGTATTTTCTCGTGCAATGGACTTTGCAAACAGAGAGATTTCTTTGTGGGATTTCTTTCCCCTTCAGAACAAGGGTTTTGCTGTTTATTTCCTTCTATATGAGTGCTACCTGCTCAGCCATTTTGAGCAACCCTACAATAATAAATCTGTTTAAGTTTGATAAACAGAATTGAAATTTCAAGCTACTAAGGAGAAAAAGAAGAGGGAGAGAAACCCTGCCTGTGAAAACTGAGACACCCTTGTGACATACTTTAGTGACCACTGGGAGAAAATAGGGCTGCTTACACGATAAACCTTCACCGAGTTCAGAACCCAAAGCAGGAGCGGCTTGCCAGGGGTTTGCAAACAGTGTGCATGATGCACCTGACAGGATTTTAGTTCATTCTCCTGGAGTCAGTACATTACATCTTAGTAAGTCCTTTCAAAGGAGCTGAAGGGAGTTAGACCCCACAACTCCCATTGAAATTCAATTCCAGTTCAGTGGGAGATGAGCCATCCAATTCCCCTACCTTTCCTTCGAAATCCCAACCTTCATCAAGACCATGTTTGCTATTGGACAGGGTTAGTAGTTTTGTGGGACAGGTGAGAGGAGTTGTCCTAGCCTGGGGACAGTGTGATTGTTCTGCTTTCTTGTATATCTGGAATGTATATCAAAGTCCTGCCATAGCGAATGAGACAGAATTGAAACCACTTGGGCATCTACTTAATATGCAGACTGGTGTTAACATCGGATTTGAGAATCAGTCTTGGAGCTTTCTTGGCGGAAGGATCAGAGAGAGAAGCCCTATCCAAATTGGGAATGCCTCCAACACAGTTACAGCCCTACTGCTGTGGATGTCAAACCTCTGACTGCAGTGGAGGCTGATAGGTGAGAACCTCACCAGTATTTATAAACTCAGCCTGGTATCTGGAAAAACCTAGCAGTCTAGAAAATCTATGAGCTTACATGAAATTAGCAACTACCTGTTCCCTACCAAGAGAATGGAAGAGTCCACAGCTTCTAATAAGGAGGATAAACATGTTACAGGCGCCAGGCACTTCACTTGCGAGCACCCATTAGTGCTTTGTGCTGCCCACAGGATGATACTAGCCTATGATGAGCTGCCCCTCGACTGTCCCTATCCACTTCTTATTTACTTTTGTCAGTTATAAGGAGAGAATGGTGTCCGCAGCACACAGATTTCCTTTATTTGCAAAGGGTTTTCTGATGATTCTCCTCCTTCCCGGCCCCAGTTGCTCAGGTAGTAGCTCATTCCAGGCAGTGCAGTTAATTTGCAAAGGTTTTGAATTTAGGAAATCTTTACCATTGATTTACCAAGTTCTCTATTTATTTATTGCTGATTGTTAAGTTTGGCTCAGTTGTCACGCTGGACATAGAATCACTCTCTCAGCAGACACGGCCTGTCCCACAATGGGAAGTGGTAGAGTAGGGAAGGGTGTGGCCTCATGGTAATGCTGTATGCGCAATGTGGTTCCATTCCCTTTGAACTGGAAGCTCTTTCATCCATGGATGGAGCAGTCTGTGTTGGGAATTTGCCCCTGCCCTCCCCACCCCCCCAATGAGGAGCACATCAAACTTCATACAGAGCTTATGTGTTTGCTTGGTGCGGAAAAAAGTTATGCCTCCGCCTATGCTGTGTCCCCTTGCTTAAGGAAGCAAGCCAGGTTATCGGTTTGGGAGAAACTTTTGTGCCACATTATTGTGACATTGGCAAACCATTAAAACATTTTGGGGAATACTTCTGTGTCCTGCAACCTTAGCTTTTTGAACAGTCCCACAAAGATCTGCTTTGGTGGCCAGTAAGCTGAGTGGAACATCCGGTTGCTGTAGAAGCCGTTTCGCTCTGCATTGTCAGTTACAGGCCCACTGATGTATGCTTAGGAAACTGCAAAACACTTTGCTTCCTTCATTCCTTATTGTTAAACACTTCTGTGCATGAAACCGGAATCTCTGTTCTGTGTGAACTAATCTGCTGCTGCTTATTCTGCACCTGACATCATATTCCTCTGTGCTGTGGAAACCATTATGATGTCAGAGAATTGTCACAGAAGGAAACAAGCACCAAGAGTAGATGAACTCTGAAGAAACAAAGTTCCTCTTGTCTTGTCCAAATATCCTTCTTAACAAAGGCAGAGAACTGAAAAAATAGGAAATAAAGGCAGAATTTTTCTACGCTGAAAGTTCTGTTTTCGTGAGTGCGCAGCAGTTGAGATGCCCGTGGGACAGCACTAAACCTGTAACCCTCTCCTCTATCTCAGTTTCTCCTCTCGTTTTTTCCAACAATAGAACATTGTCCAACAATATTCCACTCCACTGAGGTTATCTCTTGAATGGTTAGGAGCAAGCTGACTGGCTGATGTGATGAGTCTAGTGTCTTGTTGTTCTGTTGGGTTTCAGCTGAAGTGACGGATGTTAGTAAAGACTTGTCCATATGAGAAAATTTGCAACAGTTTAACTAAATAGAATTTAAATCAATTGAGTTAAAACAGCATTTTAGTTAAACAAAGAGAAGATTAAGGGGTGACTTACCTACCTGGGAAACAAATATTTAATAATGGGTTCATCAATCTAGAAGAGAAACATCTAAAATCAAGATTGGGTGCTTTTCTAAAAGATCTGCTCTAGGAATTATTTTGGGGAACGGTTATACAGGAGGTCAGACTAGATGATCACAATGGTCCCTTCTGGCCTTGGAATCTATGACAAATTGGTGAAAATCCCTAATGTAGACATTTCAACCAATTTAAGCAAGTGTTAAATTGGTTTAGCTTGAGTCTGTAAATTACAGAATTAAGCTAAACCAATTTAAGTATGAGTTAAACTGGTTTAAGCATCTATACTAGAGGTTTCTGCCAGTTTCACTAAATATATGCAGTTTTTCTTTTATAGACAAGGTGTAACATTTTAAAAAGTACCTAAAGGCCAGATTGTTAAGGGTATTTAGGCACCTAATCAGTTTTGAAAATGGGATTTAGGCACTTAGGGATATAAGTCTCTCGGAAGGTCAATTGGAATTAAATCCCTGAATCCCTTTTGAAAATGGGACTTTGGTGCTTCTGAAAATGTTGCCCAAGGCCTGAATTGCCATGTCAGAGAGTCCTTCATGAGTCTTAATGTTCCATATGGTGCCTCACAATTTTGTGGTTCCCACACCCTTAGAGTGGCTCTACGCATGTTGTGCTTTCACACACTGTAGCAGTGGGGAGGGTTTTCTGTAAGAAGAAGTATTTTTGTTGAAGGAGGAGTTCGTACCGCCTTAGCCAATCTGAAGCATACTTTAGAGTAGCCTGAATCTAACAATGGCTGAACTGTCATTGCAACATGACACAGAGGCGGGAGATGATAATAAAGACACACTATACTGTACCTAAAATACTGTGTTCACTTCTGGACACCACAAAGTTACCAACAAATTGGAAGCAATGGGGCTGGGTGGACTGACCTATAACGAAGAAAAAGCTAAATCTAGTTTGGCTAAGTGAGACCAAGGGAGGTCTGTGAGTATTTGAGAGGTACGAACTCCAAGTGGGAGAGGGGCGGAGTTGTTTAGTGTGTTCCATGTGGAATAACTAGGAGTAATGGGATGAAATTAAACAAAGGAAATGTAAACTGGATCTCAGGAAGCCTGTCTCATTGCGGAGGGATCTATAAAATCTAGGAGTAGTCTCTCAAGGGAATGGTTTTGGAGCCCCATCATTTAAAACAAGACCAGGCAGAGCAATGGAGGACAGACTGCATGGCACAGTATTGCCCTGGCCCCTGTGCACAGACAAAGTGACTAAACCGATTTTTTCCTTCTCTAAAGTGTATATATACACCGGCTTTAGAATGCAGGCTGCTGATTGGCTTGCGGGATGACACCAATTCTGAGAGTACCAGGGTACAAATAATAAATGGATGCATCTCATTTACTCTCAAGGTAACAGTGCAAGCGAGATTGAGAGTTAAATCAAACGTTTTACACCTCCCACTGTGCATCAGCTGTGTCACACAGCGGTTCTGAGTCCTTGGTATCAGCTGGGAGTCCCTAGAAGCATCAGACCCAATGAGACACTGCAGGTAAAATTTTCAATGGGACTTGGGCTCCTAAATCACGTAGGTGATTTTGAAAATGTTGCCCAGTAGCAATAAGTACTCCCTTGTACAGCACCTAGGACATGTCTGTGTATCATAAGTCTTTTTAGACTTACGGAATTTTAGACTTACGGAAACTTCATTAAGCCAATCATTGTAAATGAGCAGATGTAAAAACAAGCACAGATCCTAGTTGGAATGGCCCTTTGATACCATGGGAATAGTTTGCTTACGCTAGGCCAGATATGGTAAACCAATGAGAGTGTATTGCCCTCTAATTTAATTTTCTATAATGAAAGTTTGGGGGAGTCCTGTTTAATTTTGTTGGTCAGTTGGATTTTTTGGGGGGGAGTTGTGGGTTTTTTTTGTTTTTTTACTACGCCTATTAGAGTCCTTTGCTTTATAACTTGACAGAAGAGTTTTGCTCACATTAGAGGACAGTGTATCCAGTAGACTTTTTAGGGTTTAGTAATCTGTAAGCAGCTGAGTTTGAAATTTTTAGTGTAGCTTCTGCAGTCAGTCACATGAATGGCTAGTTGGTGCCCAACATCGACCACTGACTGAAAGGATTGTTTCTTTCTGTATTTTAGTGTCACTGACAGCAGCCGGCATTTGTCTTGGTACCCAGATGAGCAGCATAGCCTTAACAATAGGGAGGTTTTGCAATGAAATTGATGGATAGAGGCACGTAAAGCCCTTGCTATGTACAGCCAAAGTTCCTTAAAAAGACCCTTCCAGCCTCATAAGCCTTGAATAGTCTTCTGGGGATCCTTGGGGTGGTCTCTGAAATGTGTGTGGCTAGGGTATATATTTTTTATTTTTGATGATGTTATCCATGGAGAAGGTCCCGTCAGCTTGTGAACGGAGGCATGTACTCTGAAAAGAGCAACAAAATCTTAGGGCAGCTGTGGATGTTGCCAGAGTCCCTTGACATTCATTGGAAGTTTTATTTAATTTTTTAAAAGGAAAACTGATCATGGATGACAGGTGAATACCCAAGGTCACAAATGCAGGAGGAATACACATCATCCAGACTCTGAGGATTCCAGTCTATCCTGTAGCTAGAACGTCTCCGACCAACAAAAACACCAGGAAATCCTCATATGCAGCCAGTCTGAAAAGTTCTTCATTTTGTATGTTACGTTCTCAAAACCTCCTGTTGGGAGCTGAATTCTTCTTGTTTCATCAGGAAAATGATTAACAAAGTTCTCCTTTTCCTCCCCATCTCCCCTCACCCAGTAACTTGTGTGCATTTACCTTCTTTTCTGTAGATGCAGATGTTCTAGGCAATACCATAGATGCACCAGCATGTCTCTCTCTACATGCGAGTGCAAGAATCTCATGCCATCTTTAAAAAAGAAATATACAAAAAATATCTTTTTTAGGCCAGAGTTTTCTACAGGTATTAATGAATATTTTTCTTAATCCTTATAAGTTTTATGTGTTTAATATTTCTTAATACCAGTAGCATTAATTTATACTTTTGTAGCAACACAATATTTTTATAAACCGCCACCGCTGGCTTTATCTTCATAATGGGGAAATGTGCGGGCAGTTGGCCCCGCACTGTACCATGTACTGTATTTAAAAGGTTATCTAATGTCACACTTGCTGTGTTAATAAACAAAACAAAACCTGTTTGAAGTCTCATGTATTGTTGGTGTGGATCGAATGACTCAATAGAGAGCAATATTGCACGGGATTGAGTTGCTGATTTTCATTGTGATATATGAATGCTTGAGGCTAACTCAAGTTCTTCTAGGTTTTTTCTTTCTAGGATTTTTTTTTTGTTTGTTTTTTACAGCTAAATAAATTCAGTGCTGTTTGAAACTTAGACTGACGTCAAATGAAAAGGATTATTTAAAAAAAAATCAAGCTGTTTAAATGTTGCTGTTTCTACAAGTCTGTTGCTGTCTGAATGGAAATATTCCATGTGTGAAAAGGAGTAATTCCACTTAGGATCCAACTAGCTCAGAGCTCCAGGCCAGAGTTCAGTTATTTGGAGAAGTGTCTTGGAGACATATTTCTGCAACATTCTTTTCAGAGTTGATGCCAAGGCAGAAGACAAACTGTAAGAAAGCATCCGTTGCTTGAGGATTTTCATGTCAGTGTTGTATTTATGGTTTTACAATAAAACAACCTTTAGGAAAAAATAAGTGTGTGGGGTTTTCTCTTTTTCAGGAATGTATCTGGGACCTCTCGATAGCCCTTTGTTATTGCAGGTTTGGAAGAGTTGATTACATATCTTGAGGGCTAAGACCACAGGGCAGTAGAATTCATTCTTTGGTGGACTGTATGGGCCATAAAACTCTGCAGTGGGCCTCATCCTATGTTCCTTGTGTACCCAAAACTCCCATTAAAGCCAACCGGAGTTCTAGGTACAGGGAATGCAGAAGGGGTAACTGGAAAAGCTATTTTAAAAGTAAAAGGGAGGGGTAAGTTGGAGGTTGGATGTATTTAGCACCAGAGCAAAATCAATCTCCATTTTCAAGAGGAGACCTTGTGGAATTCCAGGGAGATGGATAGTGTAGGTACCAGAAAATGTGTCCTTTTTTAATTTATTTTATTTTTTAAAGGAAGAACAAGTAGTGAAGAGGTTTGGTGAGTATTCAAAGGCATGTGAAGGAATAACCACTAAAATCAAAACAAAGAACATGGTAGAGTGGCCAGAAACAGTATGAAAGCCAGGAACTTGTCTCCGTTTATAATTGAAGAGAAAAACAGGGAAAGATTACTTGAAAATCAGCACAGGGAAACCCAGAGAAATTATGCAAAAAGCACTTAAGAACTGAATAAATTTTCTCTTAAAATACTCAAAAAATCCATAGATTCCAAGGCCAGAAGGGACCATTGTGATCAGCTCGTCTGACCCCCTGTGTCACACAGGCCAGAGTCCTGCCCCACAATCATCCCTAGAGCAGCACTTGTAGACAAACATCCAGTCTTGATTTACAAATTGTGAAAATGACACAGGTACCAGCATTGTTCAAACCAAACTGAACAGGAGACCTAAGACAGCAGCCTGGATGATTGAAGTGGAGCTCTGTGAGGAGGTGGCAGTCCTGTGAGGGTGCGTGTGTGTAGCGGGATATCGTAGCTGGGTGTGCTGTACACTCTGAGCCAGTGACTTAGTAGTGGACTGGAGGGTGGCTTATGTTGATCCTATCATTAAAAAGGAGGGAAAGGTGTTGCCATGGGAACTGTTGGCCAATAGTCACTAGGAGGGATGACTGTTGGCACAGTCTCTCTCATGGAACTGAGCTGCTGTATGAGGACTGGGGCGTTCAATGGAGCAGGGCAGCTTTCAAGGATATTGTGGTGCCTAAAGATGCAGAGAGGTGCCTTGGGGGATTTTCAAGGCACCTAAGCAGGTTAGGCACCTAATTCCTATTGAAAGCAGTGGGGGCTAGGCCTCTAACCTGCTTCGGCGCTATGACAGATCTCGCTAGGCACCTCCATCCCTCTGACAATCCGTCCCAAAGTGTCCAGTGCCCGCTGGCATTCTGTGAGCAATGGGCTGCAAGCTCCATTGTGCCCCATGG